CTTACAGGGAAAACCAAAATGTATCCCTAAGAGTCTGGCTACATGTGCCCTATATGGCCCCATTGAGAGAAATACTGTTAGCTTCCTGTTCTCTGAACCAGTGCCCGGCTAGAGCTGACCAGACACTTGCTCCTTGTTGATGAAATGAATCCAAATACAGTTTTATGGACTGTGAAAATGTGCTACTCCGTGGGAGCCTACGTTTTCCACGATCTGGTCTTGTTGCTTTGATGAAAGAGACTGAATTCCTACAGAAGAGGCTCTTCACTTCTTACTCATCTTCAAGAGGGCTCGGTGAATAATTGGAATTATGCAAATTAGCATGCACAACATGCATAGGGAATTGAAATTGTTCCCTAACAGGCCTGCTGACAGGCTCATAGGCTTACGGGTCCTTCCCAATAAGCTGAGTCTTGAGTGTTACTCATCTGCATCCATCTCTTTTCCTTCCTCCTTCCCTCTCCTTCTCTCTGTCTCTGTCTCTCCCCCTTGCCTCCTTCCCTCCCTTTGTCCATCTTTTCTTCCCACTCTTCTCCCCTCCTTCCTAGTGGTCAGTACCTGATTGTCACCCTACTGTGCATCTTCACACGCCCAGGATGATACCTGACTCCAGCAGGACCGCTCTTACCTATTCAGACAGCCAGCTCCCTGCCTGGACCCTGAAGGGTATCTGCCAGGTGACCTACAGCCCGGGAAGGGACACCTGTCACCAAGCTTCTCTCCCACTTCCCTCTCCTGAGCCTGATTTTTTTCTTTTCTTTTTTCTTAACGTGAGGACCCCTTTGGCAACCTCATTTTAAAGATGTTTCCATGTTTGCATTTAGACATTCAATTACCTTTGCTCAAAAGCAATTAAGTTCCACCCTTCACCCACTGAGCTGAGGACTCCCTGTGAACATCTTTTCTTTTTTAATAAGCAAAGCCATCTTCAAAGGGGCAGGGTCACGTGGATATACCTGAAACATGCTGTGTCTGCAGGTTTTAATGAATGGCTTTTAAAGAAATAATTGTTTAAATCTTTCGTCCCTGTAAGTATATTCATACCTAAAAGTTAGGAAAGGTCTGGGTTTGGGGGTTTTTTTGCCATGGAAAGGCAGCATTTTATCTGAGTTTTTGTCTTTTCCTAGAGTATTAAAAAATAATTATCTTGCACGAGAGTCACCTTGGCCTGATTTTATAGAAGACAGATATTAGAAACAGATACTTGGGGCTGGAGAGATGTCTTAGTAGTTAAGAGGATGCACTTTTTTTGGTGTTTTTGAGACAGTGTTTCTCTATAACTTTGGAACCTGTCCTGGAACTCACTCTGTAGACCAGGCTGGCCTCAAACTCACAGAGGTCTACCTGCCTCTGCCACCCGAGTGCTAGGATTAAAGGTGTGTGCCACCACTGTCCAGCTAAGAGCACACACTTCTTTTGCAGAGGACCCAAGTTTGGTCCCCAGGACTCACATGGAGTTGAGGGGATCACAGTAGACTGTAACTCCAGGTCCAGGGGATCTGACACACTTGCATGGCTTTCCAAGTCACCGTACTCATGTTCGTTATACACACAGACAACCAAACCCTCAGAACTTCTGTTTGGTGTCTGTGTAAGGTGTGGTAAAGGCAGAAAAGGCCAAGCCTGGCGACTCTGCTGTGTTCCAAAAAGAGTGATGTACGGTACCAGCCACCATTTTATAGCACTAGCACCTTCCTTCCCAGATCTGAACTTCCTACACTGAACAGCAGCCCACGGGAACGAGGTGCCAGCCTTAGCTGACTAGCACCCTGGGTTTACATCATCTGTGCTGCAGGTGAGAGTGAAATGCCTGTCCATTGTCACTCAAGTGTTTGCAGTCCTTCTACTAAGGACTTTCTGCTGTGGAGATTTGTCACGGATTAAGTTTAGCCTGCCCCTAGAATCTTCGCTGTACTGCATAACTAAGGCCCGTGGGTAATGTGTGTGCCAAAGTGAAGGACCCTGGGAATGGGACAGTGGTCGTGAGAAAGATATCATGGCAACTTCCAGGCCTTCATTCATATTCCCTTGGCATGGAGATGGTCCCCACAGGAAGATGAGAGGGAGATAGATGGTGGTCTTCACACTTGGGCTCTCCAAGGATTTAGAGCTCCAGCATCCAGTATTGGGCCCCCCATGTGATTCTAGTAACATGGGTTGTACTAGAAAGTGAGCCTGGGGCTGGAGAGATGGCTCAGTAGCTAAGAGTACAGGCTGCTCTTCCAGGGGTCATGAGTTCAATTCCCAGCAACCACATGGTGGCTTACAACCATCTATAATGAGATCTGGTGCCCTCTTCTGGCGCGCAGACATACATGGAGGCAGAACAGTGTATACCATAATAAATAAATAACTCTTCAAAAAAAAAAAAAAGGAAGGAAGGGAGGGAGGGAGGAAGGAAGTGAGCCTGAGGGAGCGAGTCACCAGCTAATGCATTGTTCCACAGTCTTCTCAAGTCTTCAGCACCAAACTTCCCACCCTTGCTTTTCAGTTCTCCCTAGGAAGCTGTTCCTGTGGGCTACAACAAAGATCGCATGACAGCAGGTCGTGCACAGCTTCCTCCAAACCTCTGTGTCATCCCATTTGCTGAAGGTTCTGGTTGTGTGCTTCATTTCTGGGGAACTGTGACTGACACTCTGGTTGTGTGGCCCTGCCTCCACAATTTCTAAGGGGTTGCTGAGGCTGCCCTTGCACTCCCCTTCCAGGTCTGGGAGGCTTCCCTGGTCACACAGACAGGAGGACTTGGCTCAGCTTTGCATGTCCAGATCCTATCAGGGTACTTGAACATTGTCGGGAGAAGTACTGAAAAAGTATTCAATGGAATAAGAAAGATAGTTTTAAAAATCACATTGATAGATGGGTGGATTTTGAGTAGAGTAAAAATAAAGTATGTTTTTCTGAAAATAGACTGCTTTGTTCATTCCAGCTCTGCAGACTGCACAAGCTCCATGCTGCCTGTGCTTAGCACTTGGCAGGCGTGCAGCAAATACTAGTCAGCTACAAATCCTTGGAGTTCAGCATGGATTTAATTCCTCTTTCACACATTAGTTCTGCACAGATTCGTGTCTGTGTTTACCAAGTAGCCTGCACAAGTGTTTGAGAGTGGATGGCCAGGGATCCTCCGACAGGTTGTCACTAACCTTAGAATACAAGTGGGACAATAAAGAGACACCAGATGGCTGGACAGGTTTTGATGTCTGCACAGTTTATCTCCCTCTACTGGTCCCATCAAGAATTTCAGCTCTGGGAACTTGAAGACTGTCATAATAGGGGAAAGGAACTGAGCTTCATCTTCCTCGGGGGTGCTGGCCTAGCCTCCTCTCAGCTCATTGAGTGCTTGATGAGGAAGGTTATTAATGCTTGGGATGAAGCACGATGTTTCACCCAGGAATTCTACTTCTCTGGAGTTGGATTAAGGCAATTAATAATTCCCAATCAATTACTCTACAGTTTCCTCTAGTGTATGTAAAGTACCATGGCATTGTTCAGTAACAGATTGGAAAGAGAAAAGGCAGTGTGTGGCAATGTGTGTGGAGCTGCCTGTCAAAGGAGAGCCTGGGTAGCATGGATCCAGTTGAGGATGTGTGGTCCCAGCAGTCCTGACCTCCAACATGGGCTTTATAATCCTACAGCCTAACTTTACCCAGTCTCTCACCATCCAGGGGCCACTGGTTCTCAACCCTTGAGGGGTTACTGTGTACATGACACACATGCCAACAGCAGCCTAGAGTATGTGCGCACTCATGCACAGAACTATTTGTATCTGTGGCTCAAACTAGGAAGAGGAGAGGCCACATGTACTGGTGTCCATGACTAATTGTTCTGGGGAGGTTGTTACAATGTATCTGGGGTCATTTCATCTTGGCAGTGCTGCCCACTGAGAAGCACTGGGTGTTGTCATGTTCCATCCACGTCTCAGTCATTACAAACATCGGTGCACCCTATTGGAACAGCCTGAGAACTAAGAGTCTATTGGTCTCAGTTCTGAGATCTGGTCCGTTCACATCCTTCATGGAGGCTTTGGGTAGCAAAATTTCTCTCAATAAGGATGGGAAAGATACTCTGGGCTGGCTATGGGTGAGATTCCTTGAGTAGGACCACATATCTACAATGAGCAGGTGCCGTTACCTGGCCAGGAGTCCTCAAGCAAGGTTTTCTATACTACAGGGTAGGCACCATCACTGTCACCTCTAATGATGGTTGGAGGTGATTGGGCAAAATGGGGACCCAAGTGTGAGTCTCAGGTCACTCTTTGTGGGGTCCTAGGTATGAAATAGCTTTCTCTGTATTGAACCCCTTGCCAATTGAACTAGCCGCTGCATCCTTTCAACCCAGTAAACAGCACCCTCCTGAGGCTGTGAGTGGCTCTGTGGAGTAGGAAGTACAATCAGGCAAAGCCAGGAGGGGGCTGTTGAGGTGGGTTGGAAGAGCATATAGCCACTGGATGGTAGAGGGTAGAGAAGGACCCTGAAGCTGGCCTCAAGCTGTTTGGCCAGGAGATCTCTGAGCCAGATCTGGAGGGAATGGATTTGGCCAGTTAGTGAGAGGGACCCAAAAAGCACACAGTAAGGCCCTGGCATCTATTTACCCAAGATAGGACACCCACCATAGACACAACTTGGCCAGAAAGTTGTGGAAGGGAAGTGCACTGGTGAGCAAAGGCAGTGGGGGATGTGATGTCTGGGGTGCCCAGTGACTCATAAAGATGCCTCTTGGCCAGCAGTATGGACAAAACTGGGGTCTGGTCCCACTCTCCACTGGTTCAACATGTAGGAGCTGTGAACCATGGGTCCTCTGGTTGGACCTTCAGATGACAGTGACTGTACCATTACAGTGTGGGGAAGACAAAAGAAACTGTGAGGTCAGTAGGCAGAGTTCTCGGTTTCCTTGAAACCTATAATGAGTCTATCTCTTATTTCTTCTTCCTCCCTGGTGAGTGACAGCCATGTCCAATGCCTGCTACCCTGGAACATTCTGAACAAGTCCTTTTCTCCTTGTAGGTGTGCCATGGAGCCCTTCTGTCCACTCCTACTGGCAAGTTTTAGCTTGTCACTCGCCAGAGCTGGCAAGGGCAACGACACCACCCCAGCAGAGAGCAATTGGACCAGCACAACTGCAGGTAAGGGCTCCTACCTTGATCCCAGCTGCTCCTGCTGCTGCCTCACACACTGCCACCTCCGGAGCACTCGGACTGCTGGGGAAGAGGGATTCAGTGAATCTTCCAGTGTGCCACCTGGGGAGCTGCGTGTGTACCCAGAGCCATCTTAGTGTGTTTAAGGAGGCTGTCCCACCTGCTGAGGGGGGCCTCAGCCATGGTGGAAGGAGAGAGTGAGAAAACCTGAAAGGGGTTATCAAGATGACTTGGGACCAAGTGCCTGCTGTTCGATCCCTAGGACCCACTCAGTGGAAAAAAAGAGAACTGACTCCTGCAAGTTGTCCTCTGACCTCTACACATGCCCTGCGATGTATATGTGCCTGCTCATATACACATACAAATAATTTAACAATAAATTCTGCAACGTCT